GACTTTAGGGATCATCTAATCCAGTAGTATTCAAAATGTGATCTGGGGACCCCTGGAGGTCTCTGAGAGACTTTCAGAAGATCTATGAGGTCGAACTATTTTCATAATAATACTAAGACATTTTAATTTCTAATATGGTAAATATCAACAGATATAACCCATGTCAACAAAAGCTCTTTGGGGTTCTTAAGTTTTAAGAATGCAAATAGAGGGGTCCTGAGACCAAAAAAATTTGAGAACCACTGATATAATTCAATGCCCTCATTTTCTAGGAAGAAGACCTGAGGACTAGAGGGGTGAGGTTGCTTGCTTATGGCCAAAAAGCTAGTTGGTGACAAACTAGAAAATCAGAATAACATTGACATTCCAAGAAAAAGCTAACAGGTAGAAATCCCAGTGCAAATGTGATGTAGTTCAGTTAACAAGTCTTGCAAGTGGTTCTGTCAGCAACATCTGTCATTCCTTCATCCAGAAGGTTACTGAATTCCTTCCAAAGCGATAAACTTCTCTCCCCTCTCTCCCAGACTCTGGACAATATCACTTAGGAGCCATTATCTCAGGCAGAGACCTGGCAGCTTCCCATGAATACATTACCAGACTGGATTAGCTTCCTATTCAGGAGATAGGTGGTTTGTGCTTGAGGGGGAAGCTTTCCCGCTGCTTTGGGGAAAAAGAGGAACTATAAATCTGCCTCCAATTCTTCACATTTCAGGCAAAAAGATGTCTCTGACTTGTTTATACTTGTAAGAGTTTTATATGCCAGAGGTAGCAGGGGACACATTTGCAGCTATTTCTTTCATTGCCAAAGTAATTGCTTTGCAGAAAGTTAGGTGCCTCTTTGTACAGAAAGTTTCCATGTATTGGTATGTGTAATACCAAATGAAGGCCCTGGCTAATTCTGGAAAGACAGAGAATGTACTCCATCCATTCTAATGGCCCTTCCATAGAAATCTTTCCAATAGACAAGAGGAGTTGCACAAAACTTAACAGCCAGTCAGTGGTCAACTAACCTCGGATCAGATACTTCCCCAAAGCAGTAAAAGTCACTTCTTCAGAAGATAACCTGTGCCCTCTTTCCCACTCTGCTTCATGGCCTGCCTTTTCCTTGGGATTGTACTATCCTGGGAGTGCTGATAGTTGTAAAATGTTAGAGGGAGAGGAGATTTTGGATATCCTATGGTCTAATCCTTTCACTTAACAGAAAAGAAAACCATGAGTTGACTTTAGAACTCGACATTTTCTTCAAATCACATAGATGCTCATGAATGGAGTTGAGACTCATATTCCCTAACAGGTCTCATTACTCTAAGAACAGTGCTCTCCCTACAGTGCAGAGCTCTTGTCACCAGTGGAACATATTTTTAAGGTTGCTGGGTTAAGAGTAAAGGGGAATAAGAGAGAATTGGGTAAAAACCAATGCTGATTAGGAGTCAAGATGGAGACTGAGGCACTATATATGCTCCATTGCCTGGGTATTTCACCTTATGGTCCTTGTTACCTGCATTCTTTCATTTGGACATCAGGGTACTAAATATCAGTGAGCATGGTATCTTGAGGAAGACTTCTGAAAGGTATCACTATCATAAAAGGACTATCTATTATAGACAATTGTATCATTTTGAAGAAATCATTTTTAAACACTTTTCCCTCATGTTTTCGGGATAAACAAATCCACAGATAGGAATATTCCAATAAGAAAAGATTTACCAGAAACCAATGTAAAATTCTGCCCTAGGATCAAAAGAATCAGTTGCAATAGTACAGAACCATGAAGACTTGGTTTGGTGAAAGTTTATGAGAGAAAGACAGTGATTTTGGTTCACTCCAAGATCCTCAATATAATACTCAGAAGTACAGTGTCCAGATCATGAGAAACAATAGTCCTATTATACTCTGCACTTGTCAAGCCGCATCTGATGTGTTGCATTCAAATATAGGTCTTAAATTCTCAGAAAAATTAAGACACTTATAGAGAAAGAGGAGGGCCGACATGGTGACTATTCTAGGAAAGGATCGTGTAGGAGGAATGATAAAAGGAACTAGTGATATTTACTCAGGGTTCCCCAAGGGAAAAAATTAGGACCAATGAATGGAAGTCAAAAGGAGGCAAATTTTGGCTCAGTATAAGAAAGAACTTTCAAACCATCAGAGCTGTCCAAGAATGAGTTCCCTATCACTGCAAGAATAGAATCAGGGTCTGGGTAAGTGTCTCTAGGAGATATTGTAGAGGGGATTTTTGTAATGCACCATTGTTTGGGTTGTCAGACCTCTATAAGTCTATAAAATATCTTCATTCTTTTTTTTTTTAAAGCACAAAATAAAAATCTCCTCTCAAAGCATAAGGAACATTTATAGTAGAACATAGTGATAACTAAGAATTTTCCAGGAGGGAGAAAAATTACTCATCTGACATTTTCATTTCCATTTTTGAAGCAAAAATAACACTGCTACAATCCATGGTGTTGCCTGTGGAAAGAGAGATGAAAGGGCAAAGAAATAGTGTGAAAGGGCTAGAATATTCCTGTTTTCTAAGGATGGGGAGAAGAAGAGGAAGTACCCACCTTTCAGTCCTGTGTAATCCCAGCTGGTTGAGTCTTTTTGTTTCCTGATGGAGATCTATTTTTCTGTTAGCAAGGAGTCATAACTTCATCCAGTTGCAAAAATTAGGTCTGGGGTTAAATCATAAGTTCCCCCTTTACAGATGAGGGAAATGAGGCAGAGAAATGCAAAATGACTTGGCCCAAGGTTATACAAGCAAGTTAGGGGCAAAGCTCAGACTAGACCGGGCCAGAGAAATCATCCTGAACGCTTCTCTCAGGGCCCAGACTTTCAACTTAAGCCACTGTTCCTAGCCCTCAGCCAGAAGAGTTACTAAACTTAGGTCTGGGTTCTCTGGGTCCAATACATTGAAAAACCATATAGTCCCAAATATAACAGATGATACAGGATAAATGTGTTTGAGGCACTCTCCCCATCTCTCGCAACCCCGATGATTCAGTGCTTCCTAGTCTATTAAAAAGCAGGCCAGCTGCAATGACCAGGGTGCTCTCTGATCAGAGAAGGGTTGCTATGGAGACAGACAAGTCTTTGAAGAGAGGCTCTTTGGAGATTTGTCCATGTCTGCCTGTGTGAGAGGCTGCCCTCACGAGTAAGAGGGCTTGTACCACCTAGTTCACAGGGTTGCTGTAAGGAGATCACTCTATAAACCTTAAAGCCCTATTTTAGATATGTGAATTGTTATAATTATTGTGACTATTCCAAAAATATTTCCACTGCCATTATTCATGGTGCCTGAAGTTCATCCACTAGACATGTAGTCCCTTGGGTGTTAAAGGCTTTCCAGGCATCAAGAGGCCCCTGAAAAGCTATGAATATCCTCAGGAGGGCTAAAACCCTAAGAGTCACTGTGGCATCATGGAAATAATTCAGGATCTGAAGGACATGTTTTAAAATCCTAGCCCTGTTACTTACTTCCTGTGTGACCTTAGGCAAGTCACTTAAACTGTCTAAGATTCAGTTTCCTCATCTACAAAAATGAGGAGACTGGGCTAAATGCCTTTTGAATTCCATTCCAGCTCAAAAATGCCAATGTTTATCATCTGCCACATTAGCTAGAATCTAGGCCTTTCAGCAATGGGAAGGGGATAGGTACAGGGGAGACTGAAAATGGAAGAAAGATGGTGAAAGAGGAGATAAGAGGATTTGTCCCTAAAATCTGAACAACTGACTTCATGATGGTGCTCAAACCTGGCCTTGCTGTTGTGTGTCTTGGAAAGATCTGCTAGACTGGTGGTCATTTCCATGTTTGTATGAGAATTTTGGCGCTCTATCACATTGATACAAAGAGAAAAGGTAACTGTTTATATCAAAATAATCTTTCTAACAAATTTCTATCACAAAGGAGCAGTTCTGCCTATGTATCCCGTTATGAGAGTCAAAATATGTTGCCATTCTCTGCAAGATGCATTTGGGTGCCTGGCCCAATGTGGGGCCTCTTAGTACCTCCTAGAAAGTTCTTCCCTTTCCCCAGGTACTCACGTTTTTTTTATTTGTTTGTTTGTTTCTAGTGTTCCCATTTTTATATATCTGATGACTACAGTAATCATATTTTCTCTACCAAAAATCAGGACACGTGTTCTAATTAAAGATAATTCCTTTGGCATAGCTTTGTGTTAAGTGTACTTTGTTTTCTGAAAACTGGGACTGAGATTATAGAGCTGATAAACAAAACTAGGAGATGTTTTGTTTTGCTTTTTTGTCAACTAAAAAAAATCAGTAAACCATTGCCTAACCTGCTCAAAATAAAAAAAGAGAGAGAGAGAGAAAGGAAATTAAACTTAAAATGAATGAGGTAAATTCACAACAGAGAGGAAAGAGAATTATCAAAAACTATTATGCCAATAAAACCAATAAAACTGAGAATTCAAAGGAAAAAAGTATCTACAAAAATATAAAAATACCTAGAAACAAGACGTAGAAATCTTAACTCGCTCAATCTTAGGAAAAAAAATTAAGCAAGCCATAAATGAACTGCTGAAGGTAGGGGCGTCCCTAATCCAGATGGATTTACCAGTGAATTCTATCAATCATTTAAAGAGCAATTAATTCCTATGATACAAACATTATTTGTTAAAAAAAAGGAAATAAATTCCTTTTATGAGACAAATACGGTCCTGACACCAAACCAGAGAGAGACAAAGCAGAGAAAGAGAATTATAGACCAATTTCACTAATGAATATTGATGTAAAATTTTTAAATAAAAAACTTTTCAACCAGATTACAGATTCTTCCAGAAAATAAATCCCTATGACCTTGTGTTCATAATAAGAATTCAAGGATTATTCAACATTTGAAATGTTGGGTCTCTCCCAAGATATCTGGGACATATGATTGCTGTATCTGTAACTATATTTGGGGTCCCACTGTTATAAAATTCGTATATGCTATCCTTATCCCATTAGGATGCCAGTAACCTTTATAATAGATGACATTTACATAGTACTTTTACATACATAATCGCATTTAATCCTCTCAACAATCTTGTGAGGTAGGTGCTACAGGAATTATTATCATCAGATGAGAAGATTAAGGCTCAGAAAGCTTGTAATTCTTGCTCATGGTCAAAAGGCAAGTAAATCTAATACATGGGATTCTAACCTAGGTTTCTTTTGCTATAAGGTCTCCAGTACCCAGATGTATATTAGTTTAGAGGAGAAAGTCTTGTAAAGTTGAGCTTATGGGTAGACTGGGGCTTACAGGCCTTCACAATAACCCTTTCTTAAGACAGGTCTGTGGTTCACATGCTCTTGAAATCTTCAAAGGCCACTTGGGCTACATTGCGTCCAGCTGCTCCCATGACACCTCCTCCTAGAAAAGGAAATTAAGTCCCCATTTCTCAAACTACTCAGGGAAAAGAGCAGACAATAAGCATTCAGAGATCCCAGACTGTCCTGGTATATTATAAAACTTCCATTATATCAAACTAGAAAATACCAAGAGAAGAGAGATGACTGAAGATGTGATTTGGTGACATAGGTCCTGGATCCTCATTGGCACTTGTGTATCATGAGATGCTGGGGGAGGTAGCAAGGGAGTGGTGGAAATCATATTGGGCATGGGAATCAGGTGACTTGCCGGTCTTTGTCCCAGCTCTGCCACTAGCCAGCTGTGCAGCCTTGACCATGACATGTCATACCTCTCTAGACCTCCACTTCCTCTTCTATAAAATGAAGAGGTCAGGCTAAAACTCCAAGATCTCTTCTTAGGAAATCTTTTGGCCTTATGCTTGTCTGAGGGTTGTTGTTCTTGGTGGTGGTGGTAGTGGTCCATGGAAAAAGATTGCTTAGGTTAGCAATTGGAAAGTGGGTTCCTGTCTTTCTAGAAGTGCATAATCTAGGTCAGGGATGCTTAAGTTGGGGTCTGTGAACTCATTTTTTAAAAAATATTTTGATAACTATTTCAATGTAATTGACTTCCTTTTGTAGTCCTATGTACTTTATTTTGTGCATTTAAAAACATTATTACGGTAATGAATCAATAGGCTTCACCAGACTGCCAAAGGAGTCTGTTACAACACAAAAGCATTAAGAACTAATGATTTAGATATCTCAGCAAAAATTTCAAGATGGAATTCCAATGCCAAAAGGTTCATTTGAACTTGGAGTGTGATCAATAAAAAAAAAAATTCAAAACTGTATGCTTCTCACACATTGGTCCATTCTCCTTTCTACTTCTGAAAGGCCCACCATTGATCACTCATAATACCCACACCCATGGAGTGCATGAGGAGCACTGATCACATACCAGGATGGGAGCCACTGCCACAGAGGTACAGACCCTGGATTGGGGAGCGGTAGTTGGAGTATGGCGGCAGCGGTCGGGCAAAGTAGAGCTGATCCAGGGACATGGCTCCGTGGAATATGTTCTATAAGTGACAGACAAGGGAGCTACTGAGTAACCAGAGAATTAGACTGACCTCTGTTTTAATTTCCCTGTCTTGCATACAGTTAGGTGGCACAGTGGAGAGAGGGCTGGACTTGGATTCAAGATTAGTCCTGAATTGGAATCCAGCCTTATCCACTTACCAACTGTATAAATGGGTGAGTCACTTAACCTCTGTCTGCCTCACTTTCCTCATCCATATAAAGGGGTTAGTAATAGCAGCACCTACCTCCAGGATTGCTGTGAGGATAAAATGAGATAACATCGATCAATCAACAAGTATTTTTTAAATGCCTACTGTGTGCCAGACACTGTGTTAAGCTTTAAGGTTTGCAAATTTTGCCCTTTGCAAACCTTAAAGTGCTATAGGCATGTTAGCTATTACTATTATTGGATCAACACCAGGCCAAGAAGGGAGATATCTTATGAATGAGGAGAGTGACTTGGTAGAAAAAAAGAGACTAAATCTAGCTCCACAGGGACAGAAACCCAGAGATGACACGGGATCAGAGGGCCTTGGACAGTGTCAGACCAAGGAGGTGGATACAGATGTTTAGCAGGGAGAACAAAACATGCTTACTGCTCTCAGCAGCTGACTTCTACTTCTGCCTCCTCTCAGCATCCTAGGTACCCCGAGCTGTGCTTGCCCACCCACCTTTCTGGTGCCCTTCCAGTGATGGCCCGTGCTATTTCTGTGTCTCACTTTATGTTTTTAAGGTCCTTAGACTTCAAGGAAGGTTTAGGTGTCAAGCTAAGCTTAAAAGGACAAAAAATAAAGAAGGAAGTTCCAGGGCTAACCTGGCCTCTTTAGGACAAGTTGAAGGGAAAAGGGGATAGGGAAAGATTTTAGCAGCGTACTCACCCCCCCAGGAAGTCCAAAGACCCTCTCAAGATCAGGTGGTGTCAGGATGTCTCTGCCGATCACTGATTTCTTGAAGCCTGGGGCATAGGCCTCAATGCACTCAAACACTAAGAATTCCAAATAGTAGGGGAACAAGGATGTATTAGCAGAAAGGGAGAGCATTATAAAGGTCCACAAATAAATGGCCATGGGAGCTTCCTGGCCATAGGCAAAGGATTCTACAGGGGCTAAGTCTATTACCTAACCAAAGCCCTTGAATGAATAAAAAAGCATTTATTAAGTGCTTGCTATATGCAAAGCAATACTGGTGATACAGTATTGGTTATATTAAGGGCTGGTGATACAGTAAAAAGCAGATGCAGCTCCACAATAGGGAAGGAGATCTAGGTTTATATCTACATGCATGTGTACTTGTATCATATACATACACATTAAGTATGTATATGCATACACACGTGTATATGTGCTTATATACACATGCATGTATACATACACACCTGCATGTGCTACACACATGCACATATACACATATGGCACATACATGCACATGAGTATACATACCTATATCTATGCATGTAGAAACACACATGTATATATGTACACGTGGGCATATAATACATGCCATATAATACAATATATGCATAGTATATATACATATTAACTTATAATAGAGCACACAGTTATATAATATAATGATATATAATATTAATAATAAAATTAATGTAATAACTATTAATCAATGATATGTAATTGTACATAATAATTATATATTATATAATAGAATACACAATTAAATATAATATGAAACACAAATTATGTGTATGTATGTGCATAAGATCACATGGACTTTCAGGCGTAGTGGTAAAGCTCTTGGGACTATTACAGAATGAATTAAAAAGCAAATAAAACAATTTTAAAAAAAACTAGTCCAGGCTGATTTGGTTTTTTGGAATGTCTTCTAAAATATACCAGGATTGATGAAACATATTTCCCTCCTTTTATTACAGAAATGGGGAACTACAAATATGGAATGTTATATATGTTGCTAAATATTGTTCTGTTGCACTTTTTTTAGGGAAGAGTTCAATGGGGAGGAAGTATATTTGGAAATAATAGTGATGGAAAAACAGAAGGCATCAATAAAACTTTTTTTTTAAAGAAACTAATCAAGGTAAAACTGGGACCATTTGGGGCAAAGTGAGGCATCACCTCTGTTGAGAACCATATGCTTTGTATTTGCTGCGAGAATGTTCTTGGGCTTTGTGTCACCATAAGTAATTTCCTTCAGGTTCTCACATTTATCCTGTGTCATATAAAAGCTTGCCAGGAAACACAAGAGGAGCTCTCTGGGACAAGCCCATCCCTGTGTCACACAAGGCCAATGCCACTGGGCTTATTTTCTCCTTTAAAGATTATGCCTTGTTCCAAGATAGAACCAGAATCTGAAGATGAGAGCTAGCGCTACATAAGGATTTGACCCTCGTAAGATTCTCCACTCTGTACTGTGGAGAACCTTGTGCATGCACCCAGAATCTCTGGGCTGGAAAAGACTCTAGAAGTCAGCTATTTCCGCCTGTGACTGAGCAGGAATCGCCTTTCCAACTAAACGAGAAATAATCAGTCAGTCTCCATCGAAAGGCTTCTAATGGCAGGGCATCACCTTGTGAGACAGCCCATGCTACTTTTGGACTTTCTGGTCATCCATGAGGAAGCTTTTCCTTCCATCCACTCTTTGATTTCTAACCATTGCTCTGTACTCTGTCCTCTGGAGCCGAGTAGAACAAGTGCAATCTTTCTTCCATATGACAGCCCTTCAAATCTTTAATAACAAATGTCATATCCACCCCCCACTTCCCAGTCTCCTCTTTTCTGTGTTCATGTGATTTCTAATCCTTTCACGATCCTGGTTTACCCTCTTTGGACATACTTCTGCTTCTCCACACTATCTGCCTATTCCTGGGGAAATGTGGGGTCCAGAGCAGAACAGAATGCTCTAGATGTGATCTAATCATGGCATAGTACAGAGAGATTATCATCACCTTCTTTACTCTGGACCAAAGGTTCTTAATCTGTAGTATATGAACTGGGGTTTAAAAATTGAGAACTATATTTCAATATATTTGGTTTTCTTTGTAATCCTATGTATTTTATTTTGTGTATTCAAAAACATTATTCCCAGAAGGGGTCTGTAGGCTTCACCAGCCTGCCGAAAGGGTCCATGACACAATAAAGGTTAAGAATCTCTTTGAGGGGGGAGGGACGAGATGGGGCAAAAATTTGGAACTCAAAATCTTGTAGAAGTGAATGTTGAAAACTAAAAATAAATTAATTAATTTGAAAAAGAATCTCTTTGAACCCAGAGATTGAGATGATCTTTTTGTTTGTCATATTTCCCTACTGATATTTCAAGAGGCTGATAGGGAATGATTCCTGCCCGTGAAGATACTTTCAGGGGGAACCAAAGTGCCAAGAAGGAGAGGAAGGAGAGACAGATAACCAGAAGGTTCCCAAAGACCTTGATTATCCCTTTAGGTAGAAAAGGAAAAGTCTGAGTAAAGTGGAAAAATAGGGTGAATGGGAAGCCAGTGAAAGAAGAGTGGGGTTTGGAGTAAGGAAGAATGAGACAAAGTTTTTACTCTGTAGGCATCATTCTGGAGACAATGACTGAGTGTCTCCTTTGCTTTACCTCTGTCAGCATAAGCATTTTTCTCTTGCTCATCCCAGACCTTTCCGCCTGTCATGGTGTAGGGAGTGTACTGAGTGAAGAGTGAGATAACATGGCAGCCAGGTGGAGCCAGGGTGGGGTCCAGTGATGATGGAATACACAGTTCAATCATGGGCCTGAGTCAAGGGGAGAGAGGCAGAGAGAGAATCAGATCTTTTGAGAAGTAAGAGATTCAAAAGAAAACTTCAAGGGAGTATGGTCTGAGATCACCCCTGGGAGAATTACCACTATTTTAGAAGATCCTACAAATCAGTTTAATCTAACTTGGATCCTTAAAGCAATTATCTTCCAGGATCTCAGGGACTACATCTGATATAGCCTAGGGATGTCAGGAAGCTATCAATGAGTGTCCTCATTAGTACCAACTCCATTCTTGGATATAATTGGTTGCTACCATTTCTATCTTTAACTATAGAGGAAATAACAAAGCAGGTGAAAAATATGTTTTAAGGATTTTCCCCTAGGTAAGTGTTGTAGGAATTGGGGAAAGACACACTAATAATAATATACTGTTAATGAACTTGTGAATGTGTTCAATCATTCTGGAAAGCAAATTGGAATTATGCCCAGAAAGTGAATCGAGTATCCATATCTTTGAACCCAGATATCCCGCATCTAGGGGGACTAAACTAAAGAGGTCAAAGACCGAAAGCTTCCATATATAACAAAATATTCATACAAGCTATTTTTGTGATTGCAAAGATTTGGAAACAAACTGGTGTTTATCAGTTGAGGAATGGCTAAACAAATCATGGAACATAGGACTATGATAGTGTATTGTGGTAGGGTGGCTGGGTGGTACAGTAGATAGAGCACTGGCCTTGAAATCAAGAAGACTCATCTTCCTGAGCTCAAATCTGGCCTCAGATATTACTAGCTGAGGGACCCTGGGCAAGTCACTTTACCCTTTCTGCCTCAGTTTCCTAATCTACAAAATGAGTTGGAGAAGGAAATGCCAAATCACTCTAGTATCTTTGCCCAAAAAAACCCTCAAAAATGGGATCACAATGATTCCAACATGACTGAAACAACTGAATAATAACAACGAAAGTGTAGTGTTATAAATAGAGAGCTGGTTTCAAAACCAGGAAGGCCTGGGCTCAAGTTACATCTCTGACGTATGCTGACTATGTGACCTTGGGCAAGTCATTTAACCACTCAATGATCTTCTAAGCAACTATCTAAGAGTGTAAGACACAGGAAAGGTGCTAAGGAGTTTTCTCACCTCGAAGTTCCCCGTATCAATGAAATCCCAGGTGAAGTAGAGTTATACATTCAGAACTAGAAGGGACTGAAAAGGCAATCTAGATCAACCTCATTTTACACCTGAGGAAAATGAGGCCCAGGGAAGTTAAATGACTTATCCTAGATCACGTAAGGAGTAAACACCATACGTTGGATTTGAACCCAGGTCCTCTGACTCTACCATATACCACAGTACTTAACAAGAATGTGATGGAATGTTACTGTGCTATGTCACAATGAGGAATAGTAACAATTCAGAGAAGTATGGAAAGATATTTAAATTGATACAGAGTGAAGTAAATAGAACCAAGAAGAAAATGTTTTGATAGCTGCAGCGATGCAAAGAACAAAAAAATTAAAAAGAATACTAGGTAATTTTAATGGACTTGAGAAGAAGCAGAAAAAATGCATCTCCCTCCCTTCTTGGAAGAGATGGGCGATGCCAGATGCAGAACATTGACTGTACTGTCAGCCTTGGTTGACGTATTGGTTGGTTTGGCTGATCTGCCCTTTGTCTCTTCCTTTTTTGTTCTTTGTTACAAAGAATGATGGTCTGGGCAGGGAAGTAGAAAACAACGCATTTGGAAATGGAAGCGATACAAAAACAAAAATTATTTTAAAGAAATGTTAAAAGAATTTCCCCCTCATCTCTTTTTTTGGGGGGTGGGGTGGGGAATATGGCAGCAATCCATTACATGAAGGAAAAACAAATGTGAGTGATAGGAATTTGACATTAACTACTCCAACCTTCAGTTTCATCTTCTGTAAATATGAGGCTGTTGGATCAGATTATTTTTAAAGTTCCTTTGTGATCTATAATCTATGGTACCAAGAAAGGTCTGTGTGTGTGTGTGTGTGTGTGTGCACCTTGCAGGAAGAGACATAAGGATTAGTGTTATGAGGTTCAAATGAAATAAGGCATGTAAAATGCTTTGCAAACTTTATGTACATGTCATTAGTTACTATTCTCATTATCATAACTAGAAGGGAAATAGGTGGTTAACTTGAAAAAGGATGTTGCTATAATAATAAGACTGATGTTTACATCATACTGTAAGGTTGACAAAGCACCTTCAATACATTACCTCATTTAAGCCTCCCTCAAATCTTGTGATATAGGTACTTTGATTATTACTAATCCCCATTCTGCCAGTTAGGATAGTAAGGGTACTAAATTTACCCCTGGTCACAAAGCTAGGAAGCATCAGAAGCAGGATTCAAATGAAGGTTTCTCTGGATGCTCAGTCCAACACTATTTCCACTATACCACACTGACTTACGAAGCAGGGAAAATGTATATATCTATATCTACATATATAATTACAGACCTTTATCTATATCTATAGATATAGGTGTTATATGTAGGCCTATCTATAGATAGATAGAAAGATAGAAGATAGATAGATAGATAGATAGATAGATAGATAGATAGATAGATAGAT